TTGTCACCTCGATCGAATGTTTCCGCCCCGCCATCCCCCTGTTCCATCTCAGCATATCTGATGAACCCATCTTCATTTTGGCTTGGTTATTTGACTACAGCGATAACTCTGTGTGACTTCATTTAAAAGGCCGTTTGGAACGACTCTGTCTTGTCATTTCGTATTAGAGAAAGCGTTTGCTTGGGGTCGCTGTGCACCCATGTGTGTGCATGTGTGTGAGAGTCAGTGTGAGTGTTTTGTGAGATAGCTAAAGAAAGAAAGCGAGATGCCAGCTCAGTGATGCTTTTGCCAGCTATTACTGATGCTGTACGGAGACAAAATTTCTATAATAACTTTGCTGGAGAAACAATCTGAAAGATACAACCAGTGAAATATTGCTTCTTAGAAAAACACGGTCGATATGGAGGAACATGGCAGCTTTATTTCAGCTTAGCACTGCAAGTCCTATCAGATTTAAATAGCAGATGAATTACCACTACAAATGTGTTTGCCATTTATGTGTTTGTTAGTTATGCAATCAGCAGCACAATAGGCTTTCATATACAGCGGGAAGAATAAGATTTGAACAAGTCATTAATTGTCTGAGTAAATGTATTTCTAAAGGTGCTATTGACATGAAATTCTCATCAGATGTTGGTAACAACCCATCCAGTCCACATGTGTCCATAAATTATGTGTACAATCAGAAATGACACAAGGGAAAAATATTTAACACATAAAGAGAGGGAGGTGCAGAAAGGCACAGAAAAACATGACAGCAATTAGACAGCATTCCTGCCACTTACTTTCAGGCCCTACTGACTATATAAAGATAGCACTGCTGGGGCAATAACCTGGAAGTGGAAAGAACATCATTTCACCATAAAGTGGCCATGACCAGGTGCTCCCCACAAGAAGTGAAAAGAATTATGAGAAGTGTTGTCCAAGAGCTAAGTAGCACTTGTGGAAAGCAACAGAAAAACCTGGAATCACTGGGTACAATTATTTCAAAGAAAACAATAAGTAACTCAGCCACCATGGTCACGGTCTCCACGCAAGACTATGTTGGTGAAGACAAAGCTTGCTGAGGGGCGTTTAAAGTTTGCTAAACAACATTTAGACAAGCCTGGGAAATACTGTGAGAGTATCATGTGGTCAGATGAGACCAAAGCTAAACTCTTTGAATGCCATAAGACACTCCATGTTTAGAGTTGTAAAGGTACTGCAACCCTAATAACACCACACCAACAGTGAAGTTTAGGGGTGGGAACATGATTGTGTGGGGCTGTTTTCAGCATACATACAGCACCGGCACGCTTCATACAATTGAAGAACAGATGAATGGTTAAAATGTACCGAGATAAAAAAAAATCTGTTGCCGTCTACCAGGATGATGAAGATGAAACAAGGGTGGATGTTTCAGCAAGACAATGATCCAAACACACAGCCAAGGAAACTCTCAACTGGTTTCAGAGGAAGAAAGTAAAGCTGCTAAAATTTTCCAGTCAATCACCTGAAAAGAACTAAAGGTCAGAGGTTGTAGAAGGAGCCAGTGAAACCTTCAGGACTTGAAGACTGTTTGTGTGGAAGAATGGGCCAAAATCACACCTGAGCAATGCACATGACTAGTTTCTCCATAGAGGAGGCATCTTGAAGCTGTCATCACCACCAAAGGCTTTTGTGCAAATTATTAAATAAATTTCAATTAGTGTGTACAATACGTTTTCCCTGTGTCATTGGATGGGTTGTTACTGACATCTGGTAAGAATTTAATGTCAACAGCACCTTTAGAAACATATTTATTTAGAAAATTGGTGACAATTCAATACTTATTTTACTCGCTGTACACATCAGAACTCAATGGTGCGATATCTAAAGCAAACCTCACTGCAAAAAGAAAACTAAGTACACCTGCTGGTGTGGATAACACCAACAACCAGAGCACAGTTGGAGCACAGTTATTGTCGGGCCAATGAGTAACTTTAATGGAGCAGTAAGGGTTTAAGTGCTGTGTTTATGGACAAATTGACAGCAGTTGTTGAAACCTGGAAGAGTGTTAAATTTCCAAAACAGCTTTTTACAACTGATTCTGGGGCCTTTGACACTTTCAGGCAGATAAACAATACATTTTAATGGTTTACTTTGATTTTTATGCATAAATGACAAGCCCACATTACTCTCATGCACATAACAACATTTGTTTTGAGTAATCATGCTGTTCTAATATTTCGACAACTTTACACCTCCTAAATTCGTACTTCACCGGAGTGATAATTCACGTCTCTGTGATGATGAAGACAGAGTTCTTTGTTTTTTTAATCAGAGTTCGCTGTGGGGTGAGATAGAGACATGTGTGGACATTAATGCAAGTCAGTCAAAATGGCTTCAAATTTAATTCACACATCTCTGGTTTTGATAACATCTGTTCTCAAAGAAGGCTTTTTGTGAATTTAGTTCTTATGTAAAGGGAAAACACAAATTGGCTTTCTAATTAGTTGGTTATCCATAAATGGTAAGTGAACACAGAGCCAGGCTGTTTGAAAAATGTAAAAGTGAAGAAACTGAACAGAATGTTTTCACTTAATGAAATATGGAGGCGTACAGATGCTCAGTCCTTTTCTTTCTTAGCAAGGAAGCATAATTGTTTCTTTTATGAAAAGTCATTTTGTATATAATAACAGGAAAGAGTCACTGGTCTATTTTGTACAGTCTCAGATATAATAGATTCTACTGTAAAATGTAATATTTGCTGTACATGACAGACCGTGAACTACAGAGTTGGCATTTTATTTTTAGCAGCATGTTCTATGACACCAAAGCACGTTACACTCTTGATTAGTTTACTTCATTGACAGGATCAAAAAAGAAAATCTTGATGTAACCCATTGTTTTGTTGAAGCCTCAAGGCTGGTATTTTGGTCATTGTCATCTTGTTTTCTTAAAGTTTGACATTACAAAACTGAGACCTGGATCTGCCAACAACTCGTCAATCACAACATATTCATGCTCTAATAAATATTCTAAACCAAACAACACGCTGTATGAAATAACTTTAGGAGCTAGTGAATTATAGAGTAATATTTACAGGAATCAACAGTAGGATCATTTTCTTGTTTTCACGAGGTCTCACAGCAAAAACTGAAATTAGCAGGTGATCAAGCAAGTCCGTTTTCTACCGGTTGCTTTTCTGATGAATCTTAATATTTGCAGATTATTCATAGTTTCATGACAAATATGTCAGCATGATCAGTGAGACATTCATTTAGTTGCTTTAAATTAATTCATTTAGAATAAGCAACAAACACAGTTAGGAATTGCTGAAAAATAAGGAAAGTCATTTGGATTTTCTCAATGCTTTGAGCTCATTTTCACATACACTACACTTTTTTTCAGAATAACCAGGGCTAACTGAAAAACTAACATTTTATGCATTCAAGTCCTTCCGAGGTGCCAGGAGGAAATGACATTGTTTCAGAAGGAGCTGTAAAAATCCCACTTCTATTAGATGATTGGCATCAGTTGTTTCATTCATGCCTCACAATCACCGTGCACGGCTTATTGTCTGCTGGAACTTTCACACTAACACAGGCGACTGTCAGAGTTCGCTTCACCCTGCCAGCGTCCTTCCTGGTGGCTATATTATCAGGAGTGTTTGTAAAATGGGAACCAACTGTTCTTGTGTTGGATTCAGAGAGTTCCCTCAAAACTGAACTATTTGACAGATATGGGGGTTCAGTTATTAACAAAAACATAGTGGATGAGAGGATAGCTAGATAGAAAAGACCATTCCTTCTTCTTCTTCTTCTTCTTCTTCTTCTTCTTCTTCTGTTCTTAGGTAATAATGATACCCTGGTCAGTTAGGTAGAAGGATTGCCAGCAACAACATGCAGCATTCGCTTATAAGTAAAGTAAAAACCCTACTGATTCCTGCTGACTGTAATAGAGATCTGTGAGTCTGTGCATGTGCCTCATTTAATATAGCCGGGTTTACAGTTTGTTGAGCCCAAAGGAATATAAATCTGACACACATACGTATGAACACAGACCCTGAAATTAGAATAATGAATTCATTTATTGTACTCGTAGTAACTTAAAGTTTTTGAGAAAAAAAACAGTCAGTCTTGCTTTTTCTCCTGCATAATGCATGTTCCAGCATTCATCTTATTCCAAAGTCATTGATCATTTATGTATTTTTTGGCCTCTCATCTGCATATACAATACTTTATCCTTTTTTTAAAAAAAGAAAACAACACTGATGCGTTCCCTCTACATCTTTCATGATTGATTGCACTTTAGCTGCTGACTCACTTTAACGCTGACTGTAAAGTCTTAATTCTTTTATGGGATTTTTGTGACGTTTGTTTGTTTTCTGTGGGGGGAGAAGGAGGGAGGGCACAGGAAAGGACTCTCCCTCCTCTGTGTGTTTCTGTTTGTTTGTGTTGGTGTGACAGCAGCAGGAGTGATGTGTAAATCGGTGATTGCGAGGCAGGATGATCTGTGACGAGATGAAACGGCGCCGTGTCGCTTTGAACATCAGTGTCAAATTCGCACGCACGTATAGCGGGATCTTCATTTCAGCCTTAAATTTGGATTATATATTAAATAAAGCCTACTTCCCTCAAAGTAAACTCAAAGTGAATCTGCGGCAGCCGTCTGGTGGGTCCCCATATGACAAGACAGGCAATCTGTTTTTATGAGCTCAGGTCCCGGGGCAGAGGATTAAATTGCTTATTTGGATCCTGGGTTAAGAAAGTTTACCATAAGTACCTCTGAGGGTTATAGTAACAGGGGCAGAAAAAAGTTCTCTAAAGCTTTTTTAACACCTACTTTTAACTGAGAAGATCCAGGTTAACTTGTGTCTCCACCTAAGAGTTTTTATGCATGTATGGTTAAGAACAAAAAGCAACTTTGTGTTTTTGGTGAGAATATGCATGTGTTTGATGACAATTAGCATCCTCTGTCGTTCATGCTCATATTTAATATCATTATTAATCTTGTTGTCATTTCTCTTGTGTCTTCAGTTCCAGCCAGTATCTACCAAGTGTCAAATGACATTACGGTGAATGAGGGCAGTAACGTGACACTCAGTTGTTTGGCCAATGGCAGACCAGATCCTGCAATCACTTGGCGACTGCTCAACCCATCAGGTAAGAACTGTCAATCAGTACTCATTATCACATTTGAATAAAAGGTTTTTGTTTTCTTAAGCAAACCATGAAGAAACATCTTTTTTCTTTTTGAGTGCAGAAGATTAATGTCTGTCAGTTTTACTAAAGCTTAAATTTGGTGGCACGACTCTGTTCTGAGGCCCAGAGAGAGCAGAGGCGAGAATCTCATCACTGAAAATGGATATGGCTACAGATAGATAGATGAAAGATGAATCTCGGGTCAGGCTAAAGCATTTCAAATACTATGTTATATATGAGATATGAGCCAGTTGATGGAAGGGTAGGTGGAGAAGTGTATCAGCTGAGATACCAGCTAAGACTGAGATCAGCTGATCTGCGTCGCTTGTGGCTGAAACTGATTTTGCGGCCAATTAACTAACAATGTTGGATTTTTCTGGATCAATTTGTATGTTATGATTTGTTTCATAGCACACATTGGATTGGCAAATACTCAAAACAATAGGAAAGTCCAGAGTTGAGCTATTTGGCCACAATGGCAATAGATATATATATGGAGTGGTAAAAGTGAGGAACAATGAACGAGCTGTCATGCATGGTGGTGGCAGCATCATGCTGTGGGGCTGTTTTGCTGTTAGTGGTACTGGTTACAGTGCATTGCACAACATGTTTTGACCAAGGAGGACTAAATCCAAATTCCTTAACTTTACTTTAAGTCAACCACAAGACGTTTGAAACGGGTGTTCCAATAGGACAGTGATCACAAACACAAATCAAAACTGCTTTTTAGAATGGATAAAGTAGGCTAACATTAAGGTAGGCTGTGTTAGAAGATCACATTAATGCAGTCTTCAGAACCTTTTCTAGCCACTTTAAGCCTCACTCATACCTTGCTTCAGCTGACCCCAGTAGGTCACGTGATAAAGTGGGGCCAGGTCTCATAGTGGTTTTACTCTTAACCCCCAGTGATGGTAATCAGCCACACTTTTTTCATGCCTTTTCTCATGTGATGATGGACGTATTCAACAATGTATCATCACCTCCCAAGTCGAAAAATCTAACCACTAGCTGTTAATACATACCAGCTAGTTTCCACCTTTTGTTTTTAGCTGAAGAAGGGTCATCGACAAGAGGTGAAATCTCTTCACAAACTGAAAGAAGTCCAATTGCCTTCTTTTTTCAAGCTTTTAACCTGAACATTAGGCTTCCAGACTGTTTTCCCAAAGCCCCAACCATTTCAAATAAACTCTACCAATTCTGCCAAGAAGAGTGGTCAAATATCCAGCCAGGATTATTCAAGAAGCTTGGTAAAAAGTATCCTGTCAAGGTGCAACTTGCTAACTTAGTAGTGAGCAAGTGGGCTTATATGTATGTATTTGAGCCTGTATGAATACTTCTGACTTTTTGTGAATTAGAGAAAAATCAAAAATCCCAATTCATTTAAAATTTGTGCACCTGGTTCTTGTTTTTTAAGGTCATTAAAGATGTATGATGTACAATCAGTACACCCTCGAAAAACAGTGCCAAGAAATCATTAAAAGCCCAAAATTGCCCATGATACATGTATATAAACTTTTGACCACAGCTTTATGTCTTGCGCACCTCAATAAAATTGAGAAATGAAACAAATGGTAGTTTGTTATTCACAGTCACAGATGCAGTATATTCACTGACTTTTGCAAATATACCCTAATAAATGCATGTAAATTTAACTTTCAGAGAATCCCTATAGTAGCTTTTTGCATATCAGAATCAGAATCAGAATCAGAATACTTTATTAATCCCGAAGGAAATTAGGGTTACAGCAGGCAGCAC